TAGTTACACTACCCACATATCCCACCCACACACAAATACTTCCCACCCACCCCACACACACATCAGGGAAAGGAGCTATGACTCAACCCCTGCAACCACAACTAGGTGAGTACACCTTTCACCCCTACACCGATATCTCCAACCCCCAACACCCACACCTTTCCATAGGGACCTCCCATAGTGCTCCACCATAACTAACCCAGATTCCCTCCACCACAGTAACCACAACCACATTAACTTGGACGTTAGCACCACACCTGTCCCAGCACCACATCCGTCACAGCACCACATCCGTCCCAGCACCACACCCGTCCCAGCGCCATACCTGTCCCAGCACCACATCCGTCCCAGGGCCACCTGTCCCAGCACCACATCCGTCCCAGCACCACACCTGTCCCAGCACCACACCTGTCCCAGCACCACATCCGTCACAGCACCACATCCGTTCCAGCACCACACCCGTCCCAGCGCCATACCTGTCCCAGCACTACACCGTGGCCACTGTCCAGCATCCACATCCGTCCCAGCACCACACCTGTCCCAGCACCAACCGTCCCACACCACATCCGTCCTAGCACTAACATCCGTCCCAGCACAACACTCCCAGCCCATACCTGTCCCCAGCACACACGTCCCAGGGCCACTGTTCCAGCACCACATCCTCCCAGCACCACACCTGTCCACAGCACCACATCCCACACAACATCTCCTACACAACACCATCTCCAGCACAACACCTGTCCAGCACAACCTGCCACCAACACGACCCACAACACTGTCCACCACCACCTCCCAGCACACACCCCACACACACGCAACACACATCCTCCACACCAACACCACCCACCCACACTGTCCAGCACATCCTCCAGCAACCTACCCAGCACCACACTCACCACACCACACCTTACACACACACACACACACACCACACCTCACACAACCACACCTCCCACGCACACAACCCTCCACCACAACCCCACACACCCCACCACCCCACCACCCCACAACACACACCCAACACCACACACCCCACACACCACACACAACACCCATACCCACACAACATCACACAACACCCAACACCAACACACTCACAAACACCACCACACAACACCACCCACAACAACCCTAAACACAACACCACACAACACCGCACACACACACCTCCACACAAACCACGACATCCACCACACACAACCAACACCACCTACAACACACACACAACAACACACACAACAAACACACACAACAACACAACAACAACAACACACACACACAACAACACACACACACAACCACACACACACACACACAACAACACAACACAACAACAACACACAAACAACACAAACAACCACAACAACAACAACAAAACACACACAACAACACAACACAACACACACAAACACACACACAAACAACAACACACACAACACACACAACAACCACACAACACACAACACAACACACACACAACACACACAACAACACAACACAACAACACAACACACACACAACACAACAACACAACAACAACACAACAACACAATACACACAACACAACACAACAACACAACAACAACAACACAACAACAACAACAATCACACACAACAACACAACACAACAACAAACAACAACACAACACAACCAACAACACAACACAACACAACAACACAACACAACAACAACACACAAACACAACAACACACAACACAACCACAAACAACACAACAACACAACACAACACAACAACAACAAACACACACAACAACACAACAACACAACAAACAACAACACACACAACACAAACAAAACACAACACACACAACAACAACACAAAACACACAACAACACAACACAACAACACAACAACACAACACAACAACACAACACAACACAACAACACAACAAAACACAAACAACACAACACAACACAAACAACAAACACACAACACAACAACAACACAACACAACAACACAACAACACAACAAACAACACACAACAACACAACACAACAACACAACAACAACAACACAACAACAACACAACAACAACAACACACACACAACACAACAAACACACAACAACACAACAACACAACACAACACAACAAAACAACACAACAACACAACAACACAACAACACAAACAACACAACACAACAACACAACACAACAACCCCCCCCCCCCCCCCCCCCCCCCCCCCCAACACACACAACACAACACAACAAACAACAAACACAACAACACAACACAACACAACAACACAACACAACAAAACAACAAACACAACAACACAACACAACAACACAACACAACAAACACAAAACACAACAACAAACACAACAACACAAAACACAACAACAACAACAACAATAACACAACAACACAACACAACAAACACACAACACAACAAAACACAACAACACACAAACAACACACACAACAACACCACAACAACACAACACAACAACAACAACACACAAAAACAAACACAACAACAACAACACAACAAACACAACAACAACACAACAACACAACAACAACACAACACAAACAAAACACAACACAACGCAAAAACAACACAACACCACAACAACAACACAACACCACAAAAACCCACAACAACAACACAACACAACAACACAAAAAACAACACAACAACACAACAAGAACACAACACAACACAACACAACAACACAACACCACAACACAACCACAACACAACAACAACACAACAACAAAAACACAACAACACAAAAACAACAACAAACACAACACAACACAACAACACACAACACAACAACACAACAACACAACACAACCAAACACAAAAAACAACAAAAACAACACAACAACAACACAACAACACAACACAACCACAACACAACAACAACACAACAACACAACACAACCACAACACAACAACAACAACACAACAACAACAACAACAACAACACAACAACACAACACAACCACAACACAACAACAACACAACAAACAACAACAACACAACAACACAACAACAACACAAAAAACAACAACACAACAACACAACACAACAACAACCAACAACAACACAACACAACAACAACAACAACACAACAACAACACAAAAAACAACACAACAACACAACAACAACACAACAACAACACAACAACACAACAACAACACAACAACACAACACAACAACAACACAACAACAACACAACACAACAACACAACACAACAACAACACAACACAACACAACAACAAACAACAACAACACAACAACACAACAACAACACAACAACACAACAACAACACAACAACAACAACACAACAACAACACACTACTATGCATGACTTTTCGACTTAAGTTTCTAAGTATTCTCTAAGTTAAACACTTTAAGTCAACAACTTCTCAAAAACGTCTCGTTTAACTTCATTAATTTCGTTAATTATTTCGTTGTTTACCTTAATTTTTAATTATGTAAGAAAAAAACAAACTAAATTTTTCAGAGACAAAAAAAATCTAAATCTCAAAAATTTTTATATGTAAAAAAATTTTCAAAAATTCTGGAATACAAAAAAAAATTTTATTGACGTAAAATAATAATAATAGTAATAATAATAATAATAATAATAATAATAATAATAATAATAATAATAATAATAAAGAATAATTATATTAATAATGAGAATTGTGTCAGCTCCTCCACCTTGGATCAAGAACCCTCGCTCTTATTCCAGGAAGATCTGATATAACTGTAACTTTCTCTGTTCCCTCCATCCCATTACCCTCCATCCCATTACCCTCCATCCCATTACCCTCCATCCCATTACCCTCCATCCCATTAAACCCCCATCCCATTACCCTCCATCCCATTACCTTCCATCCCATTACCCTCCATCCCCTTACCTCCATCCCATTACCCTCCATCCCCTTACCCTCCATCCCATTACCCTCCCTCCCATACCCTCCATCCCATTACCCTCCATCCCATTACCCTCCATCCCATTACCCTCCATCCCATTACCCTCCATCCCATTACCCTCCATTCCATTACCTTCCATCCCATACCCTCCATCCCATTACCCTCCATCCCATTACTCTCCATCCCATTACCCTCCATCCCATTACCCTCCATCCCATTACCCTCCATCCCATTACCCTCCATCCCATTACCCTCCATCCCATTACCCTCCATCCCATTACCTTCCATCCCATAACCCTCCATTCCATTACCCTCCATCCCATTCCCCTCCATTCCATTACCCTCCATCCCATTACCCTCCATCCCATTACCTTCCATCCCATTTACCCTCCATCCTATTACCCTCCATCCCATTACCATCCATCCCATTACTCTCCATCCCATTACCCTCCACCCCATTACCCTCCATTCCATTACCCCCCATTACCCTCCATCCCATTACCCTCCATCCCATTACCTTCCATCCCATAACCCTCCATTCCATTACCCTCCATCCCATAACCCTCCATTCCATTACCCTCCATCCCATTACCCTCCATCCCATTACCCTCCATCCCATTACCCTCCATCCCATTACCCTCCATCCTATTACCCTCCATCCCATTACCCTCCATCCCATTACCATCCATCTCATTACTCTCCATCCCATTACCCTCCATCCCATTACCCTCCATTCCATTACCCCCCATTACCCTCCATCCCATTACCCTCCATCCCATTACCTTCCATTCCATTACCTTCCATCCTGTTACCCTCCATCCCATTACCCTTCCTCCATCCCATTACCCTCCATCCCATTACCCTCCATCCCATTACCCTCCATTCCATTACCTTCCACCCCGTTACCCTCCATCCCATTACCCTCCCTCCATCCCGTTACCCTCCATCCCATTACCCTCCCTCCATCCCATTACCCTCCCTCCATCCCATTACCCTCCATCCCATTACCCTCCCTCCATCCCATTACCCTCCATCCATCCCATTATTCCCTCCCTCCCTGACCTTGGTGTCCAGCAGGTGAGCAGCAACAGCAGCAGTGGCGTGGGCGTGGGCGGCGTGGGCGTGGGAACCACCCAGTACGCCAGCACGGACACCACCACCCTCCCCCCTGCCGCCCCCACCAGCGGCTCCACCGGGGGTGGAGGAGGAGGTGGAGGGGGAGGTGGAGGAGGAGGTGGAGGGGGAAGTGGAGGCTTCAGTCTTAACTTCTCAAGACCTGGGTCCAGGACCACCTCGGCTCCCTCCTCACCCTCCAAGACCAGGGAGAGTTTCCTCCAGGTGAGAGAGTGAGAGACAGTGAGAGAGAAAGAGAGAGTGAGAAAGAGGCAGAGAGAGAGAGCATGCAATAGCCTCGTCTAGCTATTTTAGTAATCTATATAATATATATATCTATATAATATATATATATATATATATATATATATATATATAATATATATATATATATATATATATATAATATATATATATATATATATATATATAATATACCCTTTTCTTCTGTAATTCGCTGGTGATTGGGAGAATTGGGTCCCAGACCAGTCCTTCATGGCCATGGGGGACCTCATTACGCGGCTCCTACTCTCATTAGTGCCACGGACCATGCCACCTCAATGCCACGGACCATATAACCTTCTCAATGCCATAGACCGTGGCACCTGTTCTCAGTACCATGGACCGTCGCACCTCCTTTCAGTGGCACTGACTTATGGGAGAGATGACACCTGTCTTAGATGCAATAAAATCTCTGGAATACGTCCTGGAATGTATGGATATTCTGGAATGTGTTTAATATATTCTGGAATAACTGGAATATTGTTTTGGTAACATTTACAGTATTTCCCCAAAACAAATCTAGAGTGCATTTAGAGTTCTGACCCTCATAATGGAACATACGAAACTTGACATATACTCTTGTAAGGAACTTGGAAGGCCACAGGATCGTCGGGAACACCGCGGATATTCCCCTTCACATAACACACTGGTAGACGCGTTCGTGTCTGTCTACTAATCAGAATTGATGAGTGAGTCAGGCGAGTATTACCCGAGTAGTGCTTTGGCTGACCACATTTTGATATCCCACTCCTACATCCCTAAAATCTTACTCCCTTATTCCTAAATCTCGTTCCCAGATACCAGAATCTCGCTCCCACATCCTACCAAGTCCCACACCCCAACAACTCCCACAGCTCATCGAAGTTACCCTCAAGGCCTCATCCTCCTCCTCCATCCACGTAGCACCTCCACTTAAGTCAAAAGTCTTGAAATTCACAACCCACGGAGGTAATCTGACCGCCTGGCAGACTCACGGGGATTTCCTTCTGTCTCACACCTGATCAGAAATTTTCAAAGGTGTGCCAGGAAGCTGCAGTCAGTTCTAGCTCCTGGGCCAGTTAACTGATGTACATATAAACAATACCGACACGATGAAAAATAAGACATGTGTAACATCTGGGTATCTTTGTTGTCGAATTAGACACATGTTCAACATCTGGGTATCTTTGTAGACGTGTCACCAACCAGTAAAGATGCCCAGATGTTGCAGATATGTCTAATTCTTTATCTTGTCGATATTGTGTACCATTTATGTATAACTTTGTTGTAGACGTTTCGCCATCCAGTGGCTTTATCAGTACAATACAAGGGTGTAATGTGTAGACTGTAGAACGATATACAAAAGATGAGGTGATCAGTCCCTCAGTCTTGGAGGTGAAGACCATCGTAGTCTTGAGGAGTCGTCAGTGCTACGGTGCTCTTCACCAGCTTCAAGGCTGAGGGACCGATTACCTCATCTTTTGCATATCGTTCTACAGTCTTTATATTATGTCCTTGTACTGATATTGATAAAGCCAGTGGAGGGCGAAACGTCTGCAATTAAGATACCCGGATGTTTCACGTATCTAATTCTTCAGGTGAAGTCCTGTTGGCGTTCAGTCTAAAATAATTTATTTCGTGCTGGCGAAGTCAGTTGTTGCAGTCATATATCTTCCAGTCAGGTGTTTTTAAAAAAATAGTTGATTTTTTTAATGTGTGTAATCACACATATGTGTGTACTCACCTATGTCTGTACTCACCTATTTGTACTCTTCTGTTTGTGGCTGCGCGAGCAAAGTAATTCACAATTACAACTGTACTGTGCTAATTACGTTGTATTAATATGTAATCTTCCAGCTAGCAACTATGTCCTTTAATAACACTTAACCTGTGTGGACCTCTGACCTCTCTCTTCCTGGGTGACATAGCGAGTGTCGTCACTGACTGGTGCTGTGAGAAGCGAGGTCACCAGTCAGGTCAGACCAGCATACAACAAGGATAGATGCTTCACCCTTCTTGTTGTTGATGACCAGAACACCGACTGGTAAGTCTCCTGACCTGTCATGACCTGACCTTCTCTTTAGAAAGACGCGTAAACAAACACGGGTGGGGTTAGAACCCACTATCAGAGAGTAATAAAACTCCAGACCGACGCGTTAGCCACTGAGCCAAACGCGTCGGTCTGGAGTTCTATGACTCTCTGATCGCGGGTTCTAACCCCACCCGTGGTGTGGTTTCTTTGCAATCGTGCCATTACGATTTCGTGAGTCATATTAAAAAACGCTCCGGTACTGGGACCTTGATCAAGGTCCTGGTGTTTACTCACGTGTCTTTCTAAACCAATTTCTCGGTATCTATTATCAAGGTTTATACCTGACCAATTGCACTAGTCGTGATTAATACACATGTATTACCCACTCCAGGCCTAGGTATCTACCTCACACACCTAGATAATACATGACGATTCTTAATCTAGATCTAGATTAAAATCTAAATTAGATCAATATACATTTAGAAAGAGCATAGGTAAGCACTGGTTTTCAGAGTTGTCGATGCGTGGAACAATCATCCAAGGAGGGTAATAGAGGCTAAAACCTTGGGTAGCTTTAAAAAGAGCTTGGATAAATATGCGAGTGTGAAGGACTGGGTTTAATTAATTAGTACCCGAGGTATTGAAGCTAATTCTTGAAAGGCTTTGGGGAGAGTTTAGCTTTGGGTAAGTTAAGATTTAGAAAGGATATAGGAAAGTATTGGTTTGGAAATAGTCGATGAGTGGAGCAGTCTGTCAAGTAGGGTCATTGAAGCTAAAACCTTTGGTAATATTGAAAATGGGTTGGCAAATATTTTTGTTAAGTGAGTTTGGGTTTGAGAAATTCTTGCCTAGTATGGGCCAATAAGCCTGCCGCAATGTTCCTCCATTCTTATGTTCTTGTGTTCTCCGTATATAGCCTCCGTGAGTACTTCCAAATTATCCATTATCTTTGTTTTTAATGTACTTCCATGTAGTCTAATGTGCCCCCTTGTACCTCTTCCAGGTCCAAGTACTTCCGGGGCAAGAGGATCCACGGTGACTGGGACATCAGAGTGGAACAAGCAGAGTTCCGGGAGCTGAGTGTGACAGCATCTTCCGAGGGTGGTGTCAACGTCTCTATGGTCGTCTTCAGGAATGGTGCCAAGGTCGTCAGGTGGGTACAAAGTGCCATGGTGAAGAATTAGACACATGTGCAACATATGGGTATATTTATTTGTAAGACGTTTCGCCATCCAGTGGCTTTATCAATACAAGAACATAATGTGAAGACTGTAATATACAAAAGATTAGGTAATCAGTCCCTCAGCCTTGGAATTGGTGAAGAGCACCGTAGTCTTCAAGACTTCGGTGTTCTTCCCAACTTCAAGACTTGAGGGACTGATTACCTCATGTTTTGTATATAATTCTACAGTCTTCACATTATGTCCTTGTATTGATAAAGCCACTGGATGGCGAAACGTCTACAGTAAAGATACCCAGATGTTGCACACGTGTCTAATTCTTCATCTTGTCGGTATTGGGTGGGTCATTGGGCTAATCCTGGAGGCGTGGTCATTGGGCTAATCCGGGGAGGGGGACATGGACCTGCTCTGCATGGGTCAGTAGGCCTGTTGCAGTGTTCCTTCTTTCTTATGTTCTTACAACTAAGTACTATATTTGGTTGGGTACAGGAATAATGCCAAGATTGTCATGAGGGTAAAATAAATAAATGGTGCCAGTTTTGGGTTCCAGAGCAGTGTCAAAGTCGTCAGGTGGGTGAGAAATGATGCCAGTGCCAGAGAGGTAAATAAAGGTGCTACGATTTACGCTCCAGGTGTCAAGAGTTGAGCCTCCACAACACGCCGAGGCTATCACTGCTCCAAGAGCTCCTTGTACACAAATCAGTTTTGCAGGCCAAGAGCTGCTACCCTACCTCAGCTCATTTCAAAGCCCAGCTGTGTCTATTGTATACTATCACTTACCCAGGATGCCACCCACAACAGTCTACTAACACGTACTCCCGTGTACCAACACGTATTCCCATGTACTCCCCACGTTCTCCCATGTACGCCCACGTACTCCCACCTTCCAATAAGCACACATTTGCTTTCATCCTAATGGCTTGACTCTGGCTAAAGGTTGTCGTAACCAGTAAACAAAAGTTAAATAATCTAGCCTCTTGCCACCACCACTCAAACTTGAGCAACAGTGAGAGCCTGTGTAGAGCACAGTGTGACAGTGAAAACCTGCGCAGTGCACAGTGTGCTCGCTTCCCTCAGAGTACCATGTAAATGTCGACACTCCAGTCTTAACGAAGCCAGGCTGTAATAGCAGTTTTACCCGAACTCCGTCTCCGAAAAACGGAGGCGGAACACTTACCAAAATTCCTGGGAACCATAACGAGTGGATATTGACTTAAAGGGAGTAATGAGGCCGACTGAGAAATCAGAAAAAAATATCAATGACTTTTTTTCTTTCCTCCGCAAGAAGGAAAGGGAAAATAGACTACCTATTGATTCAATGTTGAAAATTGTCCATCAACCATGGAGAAAAAGTATTTGAGGTAGTCAGTCCCTCAGCCTGGATAAGATTCAGCTCCATGGTCTGGAACGATATCGTTCCAGGCTGAAGAATTGACCACCAAGGCTGATGGACTGATTACATCACCTTTGTTTCATTACTACTGTTCCCTTTTTATTTGACTGAGGAAACGTACTGTGTAGGCGAAACGTTCATCAATAAAGATACCCAACTGTTGCATGCGTTTTATTCTATTGATTCATCGTCTTTAAGATGTGGACTGAGAGATAATGTTTGTGTGTGTGTCAATTTAGATGGAGGGGGGGGGAGATGGAGAAAAGGCATGTTTTGGAGAATCGGCCTTTTTGGAGAGATGTTTCGCTCTTTGAAGAGCTTAATCATGTCACGTTTCGCTCCCTGTAGAGCTTTATATAGCATAACTTGCTGAAACTCAACACAGAGCGACACCGCATCAGACTACACACAGCGAAACACTGCCCCAATATGAAGCTAATTTAACAAGATGCGTCTTTTTCTTCACTATAGCCATCAGCAGGACGTTTCGAACAAGTTTTACAAGTTCCAAAACTCACTTACATTACCCATGTTTCTCATTATCTTCTTAATTAACCGCAACATCACGGTGTAATTAAGTCAATATTTCTTCTCTGTTCACTCTAATTACCTCTCATGCTTTTGTTAATGTCAAATTCTTGGTCGTTAACGGGCTGTTGTTGTTGTTTCACAAGTATGGGTTCGAATCCTGCTGACCGCGATCTTTCTCTATATATACCCGCTTGTTTATGCGCGGTGCATTGATATACAAGTTCGCTTGCGAGGTCAGAAGATACAGGAGAAGAAACATGGCTTAATCCAGGTTGCCCAGCTTATGTCCCATCCCTGGAACATCCTGTCTCCGTCCACCTTGTCGATTCCTCTCAGTATTTTATATGTCGTTATCATGTATTTCCTGTCCCTCCCGTCCTCCAGTGTCTTCAGGTCGAGTTCCCTTAACTTCTTCTCGTAGGACATGGCATCTGTGGCTAAGATGTGTAAAGCGTCACTTGGGGAACCTTGCCAGTCTCCCTGTAGTAGGGATCGAATCCTGCTGACCGCGGTCTTTTTCTGTATGGATAGGTTGAATAATGGTATAAAATACCGACAATTTGATGATTAAGACACAGTTGGTTTCTTCAGTCAGATACAAAGACAGCCGGTGTAGTAGTGAAATGAAGATGTAACCAGTCCCTAATCACCGCGGTAGCGGTAATGAGGGTCATTAAATAAGACCAGGTAATGGTCTCAACTGAGCTTTTGTTGATTACTGTACGTTGTCGCAATTAATGTGCGTTATGACGTATTCTCTTCAAATGTATTATATGACACACACACACACACACACACACACACACACACGTTTTCCTAGACTGCAGGAAGGCCTTTAACACAGTTCCCCACAAGAGATTAGTGCAAAAGCTGGAGGATCAGGCGCATGTAAAAGGGAGGGCACTGCAATGGATCAGGGAATACCTGACAGGGAGGCAGCAACGAGTCATGGTACGTGAAGAGGTATCACAGTGGGCGCCTGTGACGAGCGGGGTCCCACAGGGGTCAGTTCTAGGACCAGTGCTATTTTTGATATATGCGAACGACATGATGGAAGGAATAGACTCTGAAGTGTCCCTATTCGCAGATGATGTGAAGCTGATGAGAAGAATTAAATCGGATGAGGATGAGGCAGGACTGCAAAGAGACCTGGACAGGTTGGACATGTGGTCCAGAAACTGGCTTCTCGAATTCATTCCTGCCAAATGCAAAGTCATGAAGATTGGGGAGGGGCAAAGAAGACCGCAGACAGAGTATAGGCTAGGTGGACAAAGACTACAGACCTCACTCAGGGAGAAAGACCTTGGGGTGACCATAACACCGAGCACGTCACCGGAGACACACAACCAAATAACTGCTGCAGCATACGGGCGCCTGGCAAACCTGAGAATAGCGTTCCGATACCTTAATAAGGAATCGTTCAAGACACTGTACACTGTGTATATCAGGCCCATACTGGAGTATGCAACACCAGTCTGGAACCCACACCTGGTCAAGCACGTCAAGAAGTTAGAGAAAGTACAAAGGTTTGCAACAAGGCTAGTCCCAGAGCTCAGGGGAATGTCGTACGAGGAAAGGTTGAGGGAAATCGAACTGACGACACTGGAGGACAGAAGGGTCAGGGGAGACATGATAACGACATACAAGATACTGCGGGGAATAGACAAGGTGGACAGAGATAGGATGTTCCAGAGAGGGGACACAGAAACAAGGGGTCACAACTGGAAGCTGAAGACTCAGACGAGTCACAGGGACGTTAGGAATTATTTCTTCAGTCATAGAGTCGTCAGGAAATGGAATACTCTAGCAAGTGAAGTAGTGGAGGCAGGAACCATACGTAGTTTTAAGAAGAGGTATGACAAAGCTCAGGAAGCAGAGAGGGAGAGGACCTAGTAGCGATCAGTGAAGAGGCGGGGCCAGGAGCTGAGTCTCGACCCCTGCAACCACAATTAGGTGAATACCACATATAGGTGAGTACACACACACACACACACACACACACACACACACACACACCAAAGCGCCAGTGTTTGCATTATATCAGTATAAACATACACACTGGGATTGCGTATTTGTGTCATACTCAACATACTAGACGGGTATAATACACGCTCTCATACATCTCCTGACCCGGAGGGGGGGGTTGTATGAGAGAATCATCCACCCCAAACAGAATTTTAATTCTTTAATTTTTAAAGGGGTGGACTGGTAAGCCAGTGGAAGGCCTCGATCAGGTGACCAAAACCTCCAGTGACGGGTCATCATCTCACCAAGACCAGCGTCAGGAAACACTTGTACTGTTACCTGACGAATCTTACCTAACCTTCAAAATGATACTCAGACCGAAATGTTGTCTTGTGAATCTACACGTTTCGTTCCATCATAATATTTGTACTGCACAGTGATCTTCAGGATGCTGCCTCCGCTGTCTCCTGTCTCCACCTCTCCTCCTTCTCATCCTCCTCCCTGCCTCACTCTTATACAGTAGTCGCTCTACCTAGAGCCGTAGTGGTGGTGGTAGTAGTGGTGGTAGTTGTGGTGGTGGTAGTAGTGGTTGTGGTGGTAGTAGTAGTGGTGGTGGTGGTAGTTGTGGTGGTGGTAGTAGTGGTTGTGGTGGTAGTAGTAGTGGGGGTGGTGGTGGTAGTAGTGGTGGTGGTAGTACTGGTGGTAGTAGTGGTGGTGGTGGTAGTAGTGGTGGTGATGGTAGTGGTGATGGTAGTAGTGGTTGTGGTGGTAGTAGTAGTGGTGGTGGTGGTATGGTGGTAGTAGTGGTGGTGGTAGTAGTGGTGGTGGTAGTGGTGGTAGTAGTGGTGGTGGTAGTAGTTGGTGGTAGTAGTAGGGTGGTAGTAGTGGTGATGGTAGTAGTGGTGGTGGTGGTGGTAGTAGTGGTGGTGGTAAGTAGTGGTGGTGATAGTAGTGGTGGTAGTAGTGGTGGGGGTGGTAGTGGTGGTAGTAGTGGTGGTGGTGGTAGTGGTGGTAGTAGTGGTGGTGGTGGTAGTAGTGGTGGTGGTGGTAGTAGTAGTGGTGGTAGTAGTGGTGGTGGTAGTA